AGGAGAAAGATGGGAAGAAGGATGATGGAACAGAAGTAGGAAATAAGGAAGAAAGAAAAGTTTATAAATGATGAGTCAGTAGGAAAAAGTGTTACATAAAGGAGAGAGAAAAATTGTGTGAGAGGGAGAAGCCAATAAGGAAGTCAAATACAATTGTGTGTAAAGGGGATAAGATTTTTTTTTTAAGGGGATAAGATTTTTTTTAAAAAGTTAATAGGAGCAACCAGGCTGGCAGAGGAGGGCAGTTAGGGGGATCAGCCTGGCAGGGGAGAGTAGTTAGGGGGATCAGGAAGGCAGGCAGAGTGGTTAGGGCAGGTAGGCAGGTGAGCTGTTAGGAGCCAGAGGTCCTGGATTGCAAGAGGAATGTCCAACTGCCAGTTTAGGCCCAATCCTTGACTGGCAGTTGGACATCCCCCAAGGGCTCCTAGATTGGAGAGTGTGCAGGTCGAGCTGAGGGATCCCCACCCCCGTGCACGAATTTTGTGCACCGGGCCTCTAGAGTAATGGCCGTTCAACAGGCTGAGAGTGCAGCAGGGCGACTTGTGTGAGGCTCGCTTCCCTGCCCCTGGCACCAGGCCAGAGAAGTGAGGCTGCGTCCCCCGCCGCAGTCTTTTTCTCCCGGGTGCACACGCCCAACAAACATCCCCGCGACACTGCGCCCCGTCCAAGAGCACTCTGCCTGGGGAGGCCACCAAAACCCCCCTGAGGTTGGGGGGGGGCCTAAGGGGTGACACCCACACGGCAGAAGGCCGGTTCTCGGGGCATGGTCAGCAGACACCAACCAGGGGGTGCAAGCGTCGGCGGTGACCCCCAGGAGGGGTCGCGCATGCAAATCGAGAGGGTGTGGACCCAACACGAAGGAAGGGCGGAGCGGTGAGCCAAGCAGTAAGGAGCGAGCAGGTGGGTAGTAAGGAGCGGTGAGCCAAGTGTTAAGGAGTGAGTAGGCAGGCAGTTAGGAGCAAGGGGTCCCGGACTGCGAGAGGGTGCAGGCCTGGGTGCTACAAGAGAGAGTGGACGTCGAGGTAAGGCACCAGACCTGGACAGGCCACCCGGTAAACAATGTGGGGATCCCACCGCCACAGACACACAGGGCAGCCCCGCAACTCTGGTCGACCCTCCCAAGTGCACAACCTCAAACCCTCCTCCTGCCACACGGACCCGGCCCCGCCACTGTGGAGACCACAGGTGACTGTCACACCAGAGTGCCACTCAGCTGACAGACGCAGGGCTCATGGCTGGCAAGCACCGCTGTGGTGGCACAAGCCTCTACCAATCGGGACTGACGGGGCACGAGCCCACGGCAGGCACAGCAGGGCCGGGATGAGTAGGAGCGGCAGGAGGCGTTGGTCTGCCGGTTTCAGCCCGATCGCCGCAGGACACACCAAGGAACCACATCAGTGCACGAATCCATGCACCAGGTCTCCAGTCTTAAAAGTCTAAGCGACCATCCAACCGTTTGCCCAGTAGCTATGACGTGCAATAACCACCAGGGGGCAGACACTCCGACCAGTAGAGAATGGAGCCTGATTCCTCACGAATCGGCCATGGGTTAGGTTGCTGCTGGAGCACTGTTGGCCCTGAATCTGCTTCACCCACACCATGGACCCAGAGAGGTCCCTCAGCCTGGCCTGCGGGGATCAGGCCTAAATTGGATCTGACATTCCCCGAGGGGTCCCGGATTGCAAGAGGGTCGCGGACCCGGCCCCGCCACTGTGGAGACCACAGGCGACTGTCACACCACAGGGAAGTCGCCACAGCTTTCTCCAGCCGTCTATCCATTCATCTGCCCGGTCTGACCTGGACGGTGGTTCGCATCCTGGGTGGAACGCCCCCGAGGACAAGCCATGCCCCAACCATGCCTGTGCAAGCACACCCGTCACCTGCGAATTCGGGATGGGAGCCAACGG